TCCGCCAAGCTCATGAATAAAAGTTATACCCTCAAAATATTCTATATCAGAGAGTTCTGAGCGCCGTAAAATTGGGGAATTGAAGAGATATGGTAGTGAACCTCTAGCCCGGACTTGGGGCTTCCAATTCTGAGCATTTTGGATGCTATTGGGCTCGAAAGTGGCGCTATTTTGCCATGTTGTGGAGGGATCGTTTTTCAAGATGGCTACTTTTCCGCTTTGGGGAAAATAGGGGTCGTCTTCTTTGCGTGAAAATATCTCGAAAAGTCAATGGTCAACCCACCATAAATTGAAAAGAAAATGAAAGATGACACATTGACCATCATTTTTCTGTGCAGCTTGAATACCTGTGAGAGTTTTGAGTATTTTTAAAAGAATTTTGAAGTACGGGCATTTAGCACTAGTGTCTATGGGAGTTTATTTGCAGGTATGCACCCTTCAATGCAACCTGGGATCAACCTCGTTTGAACTGCGTCAAGCAGGACGCCCCGACCATCCTCCCACTAAAGCCTGATATCAAATCATTTGGCGTATTAAGCTTAGGATACTCCAAGGTGTGTGGATGGGTTTTGTAGCTTTTTGATGCTGTTAGTCTATACAGAACAAGGTGTATAAGACATCAGAATCAATTTCTCGTGACAACGGATCGAGAAAAAAACCAGAGTGATTTTTTTTAGTTAAAATGCAATAATCATATACAAACAGAAAATTGAGAGTTGTTTAATGCTTATGACGAATATTCCCGATTAAAGAAACATATTGAAAGAGTTACATGTATGCAGGGGTGAGTAAAAAAAAAAACGAAACCCAAATGTCAGGGCTATTGTTTTTGTTTTGCATGTAGCACTTTCAAAATCTAGGATATGAAAGCCGAATTCATTAGCTTTTTTAAGTACAAGGATCACTCAAATCACTTGCGTAGTTTACAAGGGAACGTTTTCTGGAGAAGAGTGAAACTTCAACAAATTAGGTTTTGAGCATTCTTCTTCGGATTTTGAGTGGTGTTATATCTATATTATTATCATTTATTATTTATTTTCAAGCGCTCGCGATCAGAAGGCCGAATTGCGGCTTAATGTACAATAAAATGATTTCAAATATTAAAATCACAGTTTAAATCACAGTAGCCATTACATTAAAATAATATATGCATTATTAGATATAAAAATACACTGAAGATAAAATTGTTATTGGACACGAACAAAATACATGGACAGCAGATGATCCTATGTGCCTTTCAGTGCAATAAGCCTTTTCGAAGTTCCAACTGCGCATTCATAACCTGTGACAACGCGCATTGTTTGTCTCAAATGGCCTTTGACAACATCGCGCCACTGACTTTACAAAAAGGCTGTTTGTGCATTGTGGGTACTGTCAAAGGGCATTTGAGACAAATAATGTGCGTTGTCACAGGCTACGAATGCGCGCAGTTGGAACTCCGAAAAGGCTTATTCATTATTAGAGTTCCAACCGCGTACCTCTACGATGTTCCATTTTCCGATCACTTCAGCTACCGTCTCTGTCAGTGAAGATAACATTGGGCCGAAGATGGCGACCTTGACCGGCGGCTCGTAAAGGAACTCGTACAACCTGTTCAAGGCCACAGGCAAACTCCCCTTTAAACAGAGTTTAAACAAAAGAAAAACAAATCAATGAGTATTTTTTTATAACTTAGAACAAAGACGTCAAATATTTTAGATTTCTTATTTTAAATTTACAAACCGAATTTACCTAGTTTAGAATTAAACATCAAATTTCATATAAATGTTATACTTGAAACGCATAAATACACAGACTGTGACAGTTAAGGAATTCCTATTGGTCGGGTGCCCGTCACGTTACTGGATATAAACTACTCCATTAAATATTCTTAAGTTACACTTAACGTTGCATTTTAATATAATTAATCATGATTAAAGCTTTAGTTGTATGCATTTCAAATTTACCTCAAATAGTACTGAGGCGAGGATAATATAACTCCTTTTATCATGCAATCAACACTGGGTTTGGAGATAAGCACTGCCCACACACTTTCCATGAACCACCAATCCAATTTTGCGAAATCCTCACGTGACTACGATGGCTTGACTGTAGTCACGAGTCGGCCATATTAAATTGAAAGCGAGGTAAACTCTTCATTTTTTGGAAATTGCGAGTAGAAACGAAAGCAATGAAATGAAAGTTTATTACATGTTAATGTCTGTCTGCTCTCACTGATGAATAAATTAAAATTTGTGATTAAACATACCTTAATGGTTTAAGCCTCATTTGAAAAAAAAAATGAAAGCGAGGCTTGGAACGCACTCCAATCATAAAATAGTCTGGCACCATCCCATTCAACAGTTGACAATTGATAAAATAGATTCGGGGAACACGATCAAAAATGGTTTCCTCGAGATTAAGGTATATTCGCCATGAGGTCAGCAACCTCGTGTACCAATGCAAGAAAGTGCTCATTATCTTTCCGCGCAATATCTGCTTATTCCCAATGACTGGTATGACACAACGCACTCCCTCCTCGATAGTGCAGCATACAGGTGATTTCCGTCTGTTCCTCTTTAACCAATGAGAACTATACTCCATCTACACATGCATCCTTGTCTTAATCACGATTGAGGTAGTCACTGAGCTTTTGGATGATGGAGGGATTTTGGTTTTACCTCGTACAGGATAAACTTGTGTTCCCGGATAGTGTACTTTTGAAAACTTGAAAGAAATCCGATGAGATATTTTTTAAAGGAAAAAGCAGGACATGCTGATTTTTAATTTCATCGTGTAGTTCCTTTTCTCTCAGTGACCGGGAGCTTAAACATTTGTCAGAAATGTTCAAATGAACCATAAAACAGGGAATTGTTCACATGAACCACAAAGGGCAACTGACTTTATAGGTGAATCATGTAATGATTTTTGGAAAGTTTGAAACAAAGAAATTTACTGGGGCAGGGTTTGAACCTGCTACCTCCGGATTACCGTTTGGGTGCTCTACCAATTGAGCTATCCAGCCCAATGTTGGCGGTTCTCGAATTCGTGAATGCGTTTGTCCAAGGGGTGCTATGGTCAGAAGCCATAAATCCGTATCATGCCATGCAGCCAGGGATCACACCCAAAGTCACGATACAGACCTTGGTAACAGCAAACTGGAATCACTCAGAGAGAATACGGCATTTTATTACAACTTTTCAAATGAACCACAGAGGGAACTGACTATCGGTGAAAAAAAAACAATTAGTTTGAAAGGTTGAGCAAAGAAATTGACTGGGGCGGGGCTTGAACCTACGACCTCCGGATTGCCGTTACTGTCTTTGCTCAAGGGACGCTAGTTAGAAGCCTTAAACCCGTATACAACCAGGGATCACGCCCAATTCTTGATGCAGACCTACGAAATAGCAAAATTTTATCAGAACTGTGTTTTCTCTCAGTGACCGGGAGTTCAAACGTTTGTATTAAAGTGCATCTTCTTAGTTCCCATCCGACCGGACGCGAGGCCCCGCGTCGAACATCCACCTCACCTCCCCCCCCCCCCCCCCCCCCAAACTCACCCGAGGCTCCCCTGTAATTCCTGGAACGGCTCCGGCGCACGAACAGAACAGAAGCACTTCCCTGGGCTGCTTCTGAAACAACGTCCGGGGGGAAATGACCCCCTGATTACTTACTGAGCTCATGTATTGTTAAGCCAGCCACTCATGTGTCCTCTCCTGGCGACTAATCGTGTTATAAATTGCAGGCAGCACACGATGACGTTTTGACAAGCAATTACTCACTGCTAATTTCTACCGACTCTTTCAGTGCTTACGAGCACAACAAAGGCGTGCTGCTATTTTGGCTCTTGTCTACACTCTTCCTTTCCTTTCATCATTTCCACAGAAGTACATGTTTACTCAGTTTAGAAAATAGCAAATAAACAATATTTTCAGTTGAAGAGTTTGTTTTTCGATAGGCATCTTTGACTGTTGGCATTGTGGACAAGTGAGGTTTCGTCGATGAATGATGGGGAAATGTAATCACTAACAGGAACATGGACGGTATGGAAACCAAATGCAAAGTACCAGATTTTCAATGCTTCATTTCAAGTTTGTTTTTACCGTTATTTTGTTCATTTTGTTTTCAAGGTTGTCATGTATTATGTTTTTTTTTACCATTTGTGTGCACACTGAGCAGCTATATGATCAAATAGATGTCCCGATGTCACGGTCACGCAGAATTGAAGGTTTCTCCTTATTTCCGTGGTGAGTACACGTGGCCATTTTAATCAACCAAAAAAAACCCCGAAGACATACGGTGAGCTTCCCGAGGAGAGAGGCGAAAGTTTCCGATCCGGCAAAACCATTGGCGATTTGATAAAAAAAAACTCTTTCTCCACCCTCGGTACGGTGGACCCATGTGTCGTATGGCACGAACTACATGTTATCAAATAAAAGGAGTTCCAAGATGGCAGCTCGCTATGAACGAGTCTTACTCTATCAGTGTCTATGGATTGCGGTGAGTCCGTTCCAGTTATTTCCCTAAGATATTACATGGTGGCAGCGCTGGGTTTCTAATATACCCGCGGACATTTAGGGCATAGTATTCTAACGTCACTTGACTTTTTGGACACGTAACAAGGGCATTTTTACGTCGGAAATTCACCGCACGAGTGACGGTTCAGAACAATGGCACAAACTCCACAACAGGGGGCGCACTCTCGCGCACCGCTGATCGGTCGCCTCGACATATGATGAGGTGGAAGATATCCGTAACTATGTTGAGCGGCTGAACTTGTATTTTCAAGCAAATGACATTGCTCAGGAGAAAAAGACAGCTGTTCTGTTAAGTGCAGTCGGTCCAACCGTGTATAAAACTGCTAAAAGTCTTGCAGAGCCTACCCCAGTAACTGAGAAAACATACACAGAACTGTTGAGTTGTTGATCGCCCACTATGGACCCAAACGCCTGGTTGTGTCAGAGCGTTTTCGCTTCTACAAAAGGGATCAACAGCCATCAGAGACCATTGCACAGTATGCCATGACACTTCAAAACTTGGCCAGTACATGTAAATTTGGCCAGTTTCTCGACGACGCATTGCGAGACAGGCTTGTGTGTGGTCTGACCAGCAACAATATCCAGAAACATCTTCTCACCAAAGATGGTCTCACCTTCAAAGCAGCCGTGGACTTGGCCAAAACCCTTGAAACAGCTGTCAAGGACTTGCGTGAATTTAAGAACAGCCCTAATGCAGACACAGTATCAGTTCACGCACTACACCGAAACGCCAAGCAACCGTACAAGCAACCGTACAAGCCAATCGTTCAAACAGCCACCCCACAGACACGTGCCAAACCTCAACAAGGCGGGAAGAGATGCAGTAGATGCGGCAGAGATCCAAGCCACCAATCCTGTCCAGCAAGTGGACAAAAGTGTAACTACTGCCAGAAACTTGGTTACTTCTCGGTAGTGTGTCGCGCTAAACCGAAGAAGTTGCATACAGTACAGCACGATCCAACTGACAGCGATGATGGGGACACTGAAACTAATGATTTCTTCGTTGGAACAGTGCATCACACCAGCCATGACATACTAAATGGTGATGTGTGGAGACAACCTATCAAAGTGCAGGGACAGATGGTGCAGTTCCTGCTAGATACAGGTTCGGAAGTCAACATCCTACCCGCTAACGTGTACAAATCACTGAAACTCAGTGATAAGACATTGCAGCCAACGATACTTCGCTTGCATGGCTACTTTGGTGGCAAGGCCAAACCTCTTGGACAAAAGAAACTGTCATGTGAAATGAAGAATCGTCAGTACTCGTTGGTGTTCCAGATTCTTGCCAGTGGTCAGCCTGTCATTGGCAAGACAGCATGTGAAGCACTTGGTCTGATACAGCGGGTGTACACCATGGTGAACCGAGACAACGTGTTTGAAGGCACAGGTTGTCTTGAAGGCCCACCGGTTAACATAAAGTTAACCGACTCCGCTACTCCATACTGTGTGACCGCTCCTCGCAGAATCCCCTTGCCCCTACTTCCCCAGTTGAAGCAAGAACTGGAAAAGATGGAAACCCAAGGTATCGTGAAGCGCATCACTGAGCCGACAGAGTGGTGTGCTCCAATCGTGATTGTACCCAAGAAGAACAACCAGATTCGACTCTGTGTTGATCTGCGACAACTGAATAAAGCTGTGCAGAGGGAGCGTTTCACTATCCCCAGCCTGGAAGAGGTTTTGGGAAAGATTGTTGGTGCACAAGTGTTCTCCTTACTCGATGCAAAGCACGGGTTTTGGCAGATACCCCTTGCTAGTGACAGTCAGAAATTGACAACCTTCATAACTCCATTTGGGCGTTTCTGTTTTACGCGACTCCCTTTCGGCATCACATCAGCGCCTGAGTTGTATCAGCGTATTATGTGTGACCTACTCGTCAATCTGGATGGGGTAGTTGTCTACATGGATGATATTCTCATCACCGCCGAACACAGGCAGAGCACGATCAACGTGTGCATCGTGTAGTCCAAATCCTACAGAAAGCTGGCTTGAGGCTAAACAAAGAGAAATCAAAGTTTTCCCAAGAGACGGTTACCTTTCTGGGTCTACAGCTAGACAAGGATGGTATACATGCTGATCCTTCGAAGATCACAGCAATCGTTCAGATGCCCCCACCAACATCAAAGGATGAAGTCAAGAGGCTCATGGGCATGGTCAATTGGTTGTCCCGCTTCATCCCGAACGCAGCATCAGTTGCAGCCCCAATCACTGATCTCCTGAAAGACAACGTTGACTGGATGTGGGGAGCACAACAGAAGATTGCATTCCGACACCTCAAGACACTCCTCACCAGATCACCCACATTGGCCTTCTATGACCCCGCTAAACCTACCATGGTCAGCGCAGATGCCAGTAGCTATGGGCTGGGAGGATGCTTACTACAGCAGCACGAAGATGAGACATGGAAGCCAGTCGCTTACTGTTCCCGTACCCTGACTCCTGCCGAGAGGAAGTATGCCCAAATCGAGAAAGAGTTGTTGGCCAGCGTATGGGCATGCGAGAGATTTTATGTCTACATCAGAGGACTTCACGTGACCCTACAAACCGACCACAAACCACTGGTGTCTTTGATCAATTCAAAGGACCTCTGTGACGCACCACTGAGATGCCAGCGCTTACTGATGCGCCTCATGAAATTCCACTGTACAGCTGTCTACTCACCAGGCAAGACCCTAGTCGTTGCAGATACCCTGTCTAGAGCTCCAGTTCATACAGACCAGACAGCTGATGACAGTGATGATCTCGCAGCAGAAATTGCAGCACACGTGAGCATGGTAACAAGCCAGTGGCCAGCCTCGGATGCCAAACTTGCAGAAATCACAGATGAGACAGTGCAAGACAACGTATTGTCCCTAGTATCGTCGTACGTGAAAGACAGCTGGCCGAAGTACATCAAGGACGTAGATCCTGATGTCAAGCGATACTGGGAGGAACAAGATAAGATAAGCCAGATCAACGGCATACTGACATATGGGGACCGCATCATCATCCCACAGAAGATGCAGCAGGAAATGCTGGAGAAACTCCATGAGGGTCACCATGGGGTCACCAAGAGCCGACTCCGTGCAAATCAAGCCATATGGTGGCCTGGAATCGGTACTGACATCGCGCAGCACATTCAACAATGCGAGTTTTGCAGAGAAAAGCAACCAGCACAGAAGGCGGAACCCCTGATGTCAACACCTTTACCCCAACGAGCATGGCAACGAATCGCGTGTGATCTTGCAGAGCTGAAAGGGAAGGTGTACTTAGTGATCGTTGACTACTACTCGAGGTGGATCGAGATTCATCACCTTGTGAAGACAACAGCCTTAGCAGTCATCAACTTCATGAAAACTACCTTTGCACGATATGGGATCCCTGAAGTTGTTGTATCAGATAACGGCCCACAATTCCTGGGAGAGTTTCAACAGTTTGCTAGAGAGTTTGGCTTCAACCACATTACCACCAGTCCACACTATCCCCAAGCAAATGGGCAGGCCGAAAAAGCTGTCCATGTGGCCAAGAGTATCCTGCGTCAACCAGATCCCATACGAGCTCTCATGACATACCGCGCGACCCCACTTCCAAGTCTTGGTGTCAGTCCGGCAAGTCTGATGATGGGCCGAGAGTTACGCACTACCCTACCAATGTTGCCCAAGAATCTCCTTCAGAAACCAATCAACCAGACAAAGTTGAAACAAGCAGACGCTGCATCCAAGTCCAAGGGAGAAGTCTACTTCAACCAGAAACATGGCGCCAAGGCATTGGATCAACTGGAAACAGGAGCCCGGGTGAAGATCAGAACAAAGGGCAAACTTGGTCCAATCGGAGAGGTCCTCTGTAAAGCAGACACACCCCGTTCTTACATCGTGAGAGTGAATGGCGCAGAATATCGTCGGAACAGGCGGCATATTGTCCGGATGCCACAACCACCACCTGAGCCAGACTTCGAGATCCAACTGGAGGATCCAGTCCAACAAAACCCAGATGCTCAGCAACAGGGAGTGAGACAGTCTCAGCGAATGAGGAAACCACCAGCATGGCAGCAGGATTACGTCATGTACTAGAACACTGAACTGTCCTCACTCCATCACTCAATCACTCAATCACTCAATCACTCATTACTCGGTTAAAATCAATCAATCTTGCATTATCTCGCACTCATCTCTGAATTACAAATTCATTCTGATTTAATTCAAGAACTCTAGAAATCTGCTTGAACCAAGAACATTGGACTCTAGGAGCTGATTTGGAACACTCAACATTTTGCAGACACTTTCTAACATTGAACACCCAGACTCAATCATGTGCATTGTAAATGTGTTTTCTTAACCAGTTTATTTTGTTCTAGAAAAGGGGGAGATGTCGTATGGCACGAACTACATGTTATCAAATAAAAGGAGTTCCAAGATGGCAGCTCGCTATGAACGAGTCTTACTCTATCAGTGTCTATGGATTGCGGTGAGTCCGTTCCAGTTATTTCCCTAAGATATTACACCATGGTGGACGAAACCGACGCAACCCAACGTATACGACTAATGAATTAATTCAGGTTGATTTCTAAGGAAAAATACAACTTTCAGGGGCGGATCGCGGGGGGGGGGAGGGGTTTAATCGGCAAAAAAAGTCGGGGGAGGGGCTCGTACCATACTCTCAATGGGAACGCTGTTCAAATCCGTCGATTATTAACACTATATATCAGAAAAGTGTACATATAGGCCTACCCCCAACCAAGCTGCCTCTGTCCTATTTTGTGCAAAGGCGGACATTATAACCTGTATAACAATTTGGGTGTCAGATCAGGCCGGGGGCGCATTTTTTTCATGAATTTCTATGGATTTTTTTTTGGGGGGACAGAGCAGGGTTTTTGGACCCCCCCCCCCAGTCGTTATCCACGGAGCCATCTCCTGTCTAACGTCTGATATGTCAAAGCATGCAGATTTATGCAAGCAGCGCAATCGGAGTCAACTTTACTAAAGCATGACGTCATTTCATTCCAAAATCAGGACTTGCGCTGTGATTGGTCAATTCGAATGCAGCGTTTTGTAATACAACAACAGCCGGGAGCGCATTCGCGTAACATGGTAACATGATACCTGCATGATACTGAGCGCCGCGCGCCGTGACATTTTTTTTTTTAATCCATGTCTATGACGAGCAACGGGTGAATGACCGAAGACCCGATAGACCTGTAGAAAGCGCCTGCTGATTGGTCAAAATCTAGGACGTCAAGAGGCGGGGTCTTGCCTAATTAATCAGCAAATCTGTTCGCGCATATATAGACTCCCCCCCCCCCCCCCCCACCCGCTTGACTTTACGCAGAGTTGTAATGGAATAAATGACAAGTCAGTCGTAAGTCAAAGCGTAACCGAGGTCGCTAGAAACAATGAAAAAAAATATTGCCTTTGTTGGTCTCACTCGACTCGAGACTGGATGATTTATGACTGGGTGACTGAGTGATCGACTTGTGAATGACTTTTCGTTAACTTGTGATTGACTCATGAATGACTTGTGGTTGACTTACTTGACTTGTGATCGACTCATTAATGACTTGTGAATGACTTGTAAATGGCTTGCGGATGACTTGTAAATGACTTGTGAATGACTTGTAAATGACTTGTGAATGACTTGTAAATGACTTGTGAATGACTTGTGAATGACTTGTGAATGACTTGTAAATGACTTGTAAATGACTTGTAAATGACTTGTGAATGACTTGTAAATGACTTGTGAATGACTTGTAAATGACTTGTGAATGACTTGTAAATGACTTATGAATGACTTGTGAATGACTTGTGAATGACTTGCGGATGACTTGTAAATGACTTGTGAATGACTTGTGAATGACTAGTAAATGACTTGTGAATGACTTGTGAATGACTTGTGAATGACCTGTGAATGACTTGTGAATGACTTGTAAATGACTTGTGAATGACTTGTAAATGACTTGTGAATGACTTGTGATTGACTTGCAAATGTCTTGTGAATGGCATGTGAATGACTTGTGATTGACTTGAGGACAAGTGCTTGTCTTCTCGTTGACTCGTGATTGACTTATGATTGATTTGTTATGACTTGTCAGGACTTTAAAGCACTTCTGCCAAGGACTTGAATCATTCCCCCCCCCCTTTTTATTCCAGGCTGAACTTAATGAGCAAAATTGCTTGTTTTTTGGTTATTTTCTTTTCAAGCTGATTTTAAACTGCAGACCGAGGAAGATAATTATTAAAATCCCGAGGCTGGGTTGTAGGCCTACTGCTTCATATTGGTTAAAGCCGAGGGATTAGGATTAATCGCATAACCCCCCCCCCCCCCCCCCCCCCCCGATTTCATCCTCCCTATAATCCGATTCAAATTAATTCAGCTAGCGGGATGGTCATGAAAACAACCCGTCATATCTTGGTTAGGGAAAGGATTTAAATTAAATCCTCCTTTTCCACAGAGATTGCAATGTCAAGTTGAAAAGCTATACAAGAGATCAATTTTCATCATCCTCTTTAAATTAGCCATCTGACATTTTAAATTAGTCATCTGACATTTTCTAAGTTCATATTTAATTCAGAATGACAGGATGTTCCCGTGGGCATTGAAACGTTGCCTTAGCGTTCGAGTCCATCACAAGTCGATTCACATTGCGATAAAGGAATGACAACAGATTTTATTTGGATATCTCGTGACCCAACTTAAGGCTATAGACGACTTGTGATTGACCATGGAGAACTAACAGCGAACAACCCGATTTTTTTTCCATTTTCTGCTAGTAGGAGATTTAGTTTTTTTTCTACCGACTCTTTCAGGGCTTACGAGCACAACAAAGGCGTGCGGCTATTTTGCCTCATCTCGACACTCTTCCTTTCTTTCTTTTCATCATTTCCACAGAAGTACATGTATACTCAATTTAGAAAATAGCAAATAAACAATATTTTCAGTTGAACAGTTTGTTTTTTGATAGATAATTAAAATGCATAAAAATGCATCTTGTA